AAGTGATTTATATGGTCAAGATCTAAGACAACATGAAGAGGAGGTATACATGCAAGATGCAGAAGATATTCAAGAGATTCAACCACCTCCTACTACTGAAGTTTCAAAAGGAAAAAAAGTTCTTCAACAGCACAAAAAAGGAAAAACAATAGGAACTTTTTTTATGCCAAGAGCTACTCCAGGAGGTCAACCATCCATCAAAAGTGTGATGCAAAGCAAAGAAGCTAAAGAGAAGGTTGACATGGCAGTTGCGAAGTGGATGATTGATGCTTCCATCCCCTTCAATGCAGCAAACTCTGCATATTATCAAATAATGTTTGATGCTGCTTGTTCTTTTGGAGCTGGTTACAAAGCGCCTAATTTCTATGACTTGCGTGGCTATTTGTTGACAAAAAATGTTGAGCAAGTTAAGAATTTTGTTAATAGCTTTCGTACAACTTGGAAAGAAACTGGATGTACTATTATGGCTGATGGATGGACTGACCAACAAAGGAGAACTCTCATCAACTTTCTAGCTTATTGCCCTAGAGGAACTGTTTTTCTAAAATCAGTTGATGCCTCGGATGCTTCTAAGACTGCAGAGATGTTGTATAAGCTGTTTAGAGAAGTGGTTTTATTTGTTGGGGTGCAAAATGTGGTACACTTCGTCACTGACAATGCTGCCAATTATGTTGCTGCTGGAAGATTATTAGAAAGGGAATTTCCAACACTTTATTGGTCTCCATGTGCTGCTCATTGTCTAAATTTGATGCTACATGATATGGGCAAGTTAGATGAGGTTAGTAAAGTGGTTGGACATGCTTCAAAAATAACAAAATACATTTATAATCATTGTTATCCATTGCATTTGATGAGAAAACACACTGGTGGAAGAGAAATTATTCGGCCTGCTCCTACACGTTTTGCTACTAATTTCATTGCATTGCAAAGTATTTTAGTGCAAAAAGATGCTTTAAGAGCTATGGTGACTTCAAAAGAATGGACTCTATCAGCATATGCTAAGGAGAGTAAAGCAAAAAAATTTGTGGATCTTGTGCTAGATTCTATATTTTGGAAAGAATGTGCTATAATAGTTCAATTAACTGAGCCTCTTGTTCGAGTTCTAAGAATTGTTGATAGTGATGAAAGGCCTGCTATGGGATACTTGTATGCTGCCATGCATAGAGCCAGAGAAGAGCTTTTGAGAAGATTCACAAGAAAAAAGAAAGCAGTTGATCCTTACTTAAGAATAATTGATTCAAGATGGGATAGTCAGCTTCACAAAAATCTTCATGCTGCCGGTTATTGGCTCAATCCTGCTTATCAATATAATTCTCTTGATTTGGAAAAGCACAGGCATGCAACATCAGGACTTTTGGATGTGATTGAGAGATATTCTTATGCAAATCCTGATTTGATGAGTAATTTGACCGGAGAGATGAGATTATTTCGTAAAGCTGAAGGTGATTTTGGTAGAGTCTCTGCTATACGAGATCGTGATGTCATGCTTCCAGGTACCCAAAAATTAACTTCATTTTTATTGATGATTTGATTTTAATTGTAAAATATTATAATCTGACTTTTTTCCTTTATTTATTGCAATAGATGAATGGTGGACATGTTATGGTAGCACTGCACCTAATTTGCAAAAACTAGCTATACGTGTTCTAAGCCAAACTTGCAGTGCTTCTGGCTGTGAAAGAAATTGGAGTTTATTTGAGCATATCCACTCAAAGAAGAGAAATAGATTGGAGCATCAAAGACTAAATGATTTGGTTTATGTACACTACAATTTAAGACTACAACAAAGGTAAACTACATTTTGCAATCAGATTTTTGTTTTAATATGATGACATTTGTTATTTAACTAGTTTTAATGTTTTGTATCATTAGAAATGCAAGGGGTAGAAATTATGATCCTATTGATTTTGAGGACTTCAGCATCAATGAAACTTGGATTTTGGATGATGAACCTTCACAATTAACTCCAGTTGAATTAGAAAGCTTTAGGAATGAAATAGCTACATTTGCTATCAGCCGACAAAGTGGTGAGTTATTTTTTTTGAGCCATATGTTTGCTTATTCTTTGTTTTTCGTTTTTGGCTAAATATTATCCAAATTTAGTGAATGATTCATTGATTTTTGTACTTATGTAGATGAAACTCTAAATTTGGATGATTTGGACACTGGAGATGAAGATGAGACCAATAATGAAGAGAATGTTGAAAGAAATGATCTTAATGTGGGCTGTGATGTAAATGAACTTGGTGGTATTGAATTTGGCAGAAGTTGGGAACCATGGGCATGAATAATAGATGGAGTGAACTACTCAAGTGATAATTGTGGTGTTGTTTATGTTCATGACTTTATGTTTGGTTGTATTGAATTTGTCGTTTATGACTTATGTTTCATGGTTTGATACTTCTATTTATGTGTGTGAAATGAATTATGAACTATGAACAGGTTATAACTTGTTGAGATTTAAGAATTTCTGCACTTATATTATAATTTACATGTTTATTTAATTATATTATATATATTTTTTATTATATATTGTGACCCAACGGTTCAACCAGTGACCCACCGGTTGAACCACTGACCCGTCAACCCGGTCCTCTTGCCGGGTTGATGTCCGGGTTGGTTTTAATAACTATGATCACTTGTCTCCATCCTTCTTCTTTGCGCTTTCCACGATGCTATTATATTAAACCATTAGGGAAATTGTCAATGCGGAAACCAAAACTTTTTAGGCTAAATAACCAACTACTCCCATGTGGTTTCGCATACTACCAAATGACTCTCTTAACATTTTGAAGTTTCCAAATAACCCCACATAATTTTATATAAAGGGAAAACTTGACGAAAAGCAATTTCCTATTAGTTGAAATGCTAGTATTAACCAAATGAGAACTGAATAGATATTTATGTTAAATTATATGGAATCAAGTGGATATTATATTATAATTTTACCATATGCACTTTAGGATGGTGCCTAGATACAGAGATGCACTTTTCGCTCACTTTTTACTTTGCATAAAACCACATATGAGTAACGTGAATATTCTAAAACATTAGAAAAGTAGCATGGTAATATGCAAAAACATAGGGTGTTTCTAGTAATTTAATCCAATTTGTACATAAAAGCATAGTTATTAAATTCGATCCCGATAAACTTTTGAACTTCAGTTGAACAAGAACTGTAGTAAGTATTCTATGCTGCTGAAAATCAATTGTTTTCCTTCTTTTTTCGCAGAAAAACTTTGAACTTCTGTCGAACGGGAACTAGGAGGTATCCTATCCTATGCTGCTGTTTTTGGGTGCTTAGTGCTCTTACTTCTATGAATATTTTGGTCAACCCCTTCTTTTTCTTAGTGAAATTATGAGCAGAATGAAACAAATCCGCCGATTCAGGCAGCCATGTCAAACAATCAGGGAAATCATTAATGGCGCAAAAAAGAAAAAAAAAATCTTCTCAAGCCTCATTTCCATCTCAATTCCACGGATAACAGCCTATTTGACCAGAGCATTAATTTCTTTAAGTTTTTTTTTTTTTGTTAAGTAGTACCCAACTAAATTAATAAAGATGTTAAACTTTGACTCAATGATGAATAATTTTTTATGCATTTAATGTCAACTTGACAGACGAAGCATTCTCTACCCCTTGAAAATAGAAGGTATTCACAGTACACCAAAATACAAGGAATGTGAAAATGCAGATGCCAAACAAAACGTTGAATAGAATTGGGATTGACGCATGAAGATAACAAGGATTCAAAGCCAAAGAAAACTGACTCATGGGAGGCCAATTTGAGGTGCTAGAAAAAGAAGTAAAGCTTAAACCATGAAAGAGAAGGGGGAAGATTACTGTAAGAAGTAGAAATGCAAGAAAACTGGGGAGAAAGGTGGGGAGGGCAATAATGCGCAAATACCGTTCGTTAGATCCCCCCTAAAAGAGTAGAGTAGAACCCACTTGTACCTTTTTTTTGTACATTCGTCTCAAATGCATCTCAGGTAATCTCACGAATTTTTATAGCACAAACTAACATGTACAAAAACAGCAATTTGTTGAGGAAAATAACTAAATTATGGCGAGCTAAACGCTCGAGAGAAAATGCACCCAATAATCACCCCCTTGGTTTTTTGGTTCCATCTTTCTGACACTCATTTTCTTCTGGGATGTGAAGGACCAATTTGCTGGTGGTATTTGTGGACTTCTTCACCCTGGTGAAGCACTCTGGACTTCAGGTATGATAAGAACCAGTAGTAAATCACTAACCATAGGCCCGGCAGCCAGCCGTTGTTTAATGAAGGTAAGATGTAGTACTATATCATTTCTCTCTGTGCTTTTAGCTCCAGAAATGCATATTCTTGGATACAGATTATGCAAGGTCATGTGCACTTGTGCTTAACCTAGGTTACAAGAAGAGAGATATTCTACTTATCGAACAGACTACAAGAGCAAGATCAAAATCTCTGTTCTTACAACGTTCATGCAAAGTCATCAACCCTCATTTAACTGTAAAGAAAAAGGGAAAGGAAAGGAAAAAGTTGATGCACTTCTCATTGCTAGTCAAGTCACTGGCAAAAACCAGGAAAAACCAATGAAAATGTTGACATTGATTCCCAGTAAAATTAAGGTTGCACCATAACAAAGTACTCCTAAGTGTTGGTCACTGGCAAATGTCTTCTGGGCGTCCATTTGATGCACAAATGAAGTTTCAAAACTAGGACCGACATTACTCTAAAACTGAGAATTTAACTTAGAAAGAGGCAAGAAATCATTACAATTAAGCCAAATGACAGGTATCACTTCAACAAAAAAAACTCCCTCGAGGTTTAAACGACGGGAAAGCCAAGATATTCTTGTCACCATACGCGAAGGCCCTTCCTAACTTTGCCATCACCGTGTAGATAAAATTTCTTTAACAGTGTAAAATAAGACAAAAAGCCAATAACAATACAGGAAAAAGACAACACAAAGGAAAAGCCAATTTAATCCCTTGGGACAGAGAAGCAAAACATTTAACGACCAAAGACAGCAATAAGCAAGGCTTTCTAAAGCTTGTATAATTCATAACAAAATCTTTTACATCAGTTCACCAAGCATAATAAGATACCAACCGTATCTTCATTTGACTTAGACGTCAATCAATTTACAGCTACTGTCATATATTCTAATTACAAGGTTCAAGAGCTCTGCCCTTTACTTATTTCATTGTATCAGAATCAATCAATGCACTTTTGACCAGTACTAGATACTTTGTCATGACGGCTAAGCATCACCAGGCCTCCATTGATGCATGAAAATGCTTCTACACCTGACACTGGATACAAAATTCACAAGATTATGAATAAATTTAACCTCGACTGGTGCAGGAAAATGCTTCCATACAAATGTCCATATAAATTGAGCATCATTCACAGAAAAGTTTCTATCAAGCTACAGAAGTCAGGAATCTGTTAACTTCAAGTAACCAGTCTGCAGACTGCAACTATTTTCACAGGTCACAACCTCCAAAGTTGCATAGGAAGAATATAAACAAAACTAAGGCCTCTGCAAAACACAAAACTAAGAGTAAATTGCACTGACCTCCCTTGAGGTCTGATTGGATTAAAAGATAAACCCCTCAAAGGCTTGAAGAACTGAACCAGCCTCCATTAAGGCTTCACACATTTATGCTTGCCCTTGATAAAATGTAATGGCATCAAAAAGATTGGCAAAGACTGTACAGCAGCCACAGAGAGAGAACAAGAGAGAGAGAGAGAGAGGAAAACTGACACTGGTCACTGAACACAAAATTCACAAGATTATGCCCTTACCAATGTCCAAACAAATAGAACATCATTCACAGAAAATTTTTTACCAAGCTACAAAAATCAGGAATCTGTAACTTCAAGTAGCCAGTCTACAGACTGCAACTATTTCCATAGGTTACAACCTTCCAAAGCTGCATAGGAAGAATATAAACAGAACTGAGGCGTCTGTAAAACATAAAACTAAGAGTAATTTGCACTGACCTCCCCTGAGGTCTGATTGGATTTATAGATAAACCCCTCAAAGGCTTGAAGAATTGAACCAGCCCCCTTTAAGACTTTACATAACCTATGCTCCACGGTAATAAAATGTAATGGCATCAAAAAGATTGGCAAAGACTGTACAGCAGCCACAAAGAGAGAACAAGAAAGGGGGTGGGGAGAATAACTTTACCCCACAGCTCTCTCTCCCTCCTAATCACAATCTTATCCACTGCTCGTCCTTCCTCCCTCCCTCTCCACCCCTTCACCAGCTCCCCTTCCTTTGACTCTTCCTCCCCGTTTCCTCTTGCTTTCCCTTCCCTCTCTCCCCTACTAACCGATTTTTGCTTCTCCATGGTACCTGCAGCTGCTCTGCAATCTGTTCCCTCATTACTCTCGCTGGTCTATTCTTCAGTCTCCCAGTCTTGGATACCAAATTTTGTGGAATTTTTGTAAATGATTTGGAAAAGTTGCACGTTGCAGTCATGGAGGCCTGCTGTCATGCGCAGCTGACAGTGGCAATTGTGTCATCAGGTAAGAATGGAAAACGAAGAAAAACAAAATTAGGACCCCTTTTGGAGTGCTTAATTTATGTCAAGGTCTTTTGTTTGGTTAAAGCCATTACCAGCAAATTTATCAAGGGAATGCAACACAACTCTTTAAAACAGAGGACTATCCATAATTCAAGCAAACCCCTGGCGATGTCAATGCATCATACTCCGGCTATCCATATTTTTGCAACACCTAGACAGCCCAAATCCAGGCAGTTCAGTTGTCCAATTAACACTGATCAGAACCCAGACTATATCTACCATCAGATTTCATTAGATAATTTTATCATCTCAAAATCATTGATTCCTGCATCATTTGGCTAATTACTAACTGCAATTTAGCTTATCAAAATAAAAATTATTGAGAATCAAAGTGCATGGCCTTCAATTTAGGGGCCTAAGACTTTCACTGCAAGGGATTGACTGTTCGTAAGCCTTTAGCACATTCCAACTTTTAGACAGAGCTGCTCAAAAAAAAAATAAACTTTTAGACAGGTGGAAATTTCCACGTTTTTTATATAACCACTGATTGGAGAAGACCATTCCAGCCTCTCATGGGGATAGTGCACCATTCAATGGCGAGAGAGCAACCAGCAAGATAGACCATAAGCTCTACTACACCTTCCCCCCTCCCCCCCCCCCAAATGCCCTCCCCTCCAAAAAAAGATGCAAGGAACTCCAGTTCAATCTTAGACTTGTCCTTATGGAGCTACACAGACACCGCAATGACCTGATATATAAATGCGACACCATGATCTAAGTCAAATGGCTTTCACCATTACAAGGAGTCAAACCTATATGATCAAATGACATAGAACAATAACATGAATCCACAAATTATACCAGTTTCCATGTATCGATCTGATGTACAAAATCCTAAACGCGCAAGGAAACTAATTTAAAATGAATGGTCTGAATTCCATTAACCTACACTGTCCTACCAAAATTCGCTACTGTGTTTCCAACATACTCTTAGTAAACAAGACACACACCACAGGCATGCTTCTCTTGCTTGGTATTGTAGACATTGCTTTATCCACAACTTCTGAACTTGTTTCCTATCAAATTTATCATAAACTATACTGCAAAATGCATATTACTTCAGAACACCATCAAACCACCCATACATCAACCTCCACCAAGATTGCTAATGACATTCAGAAAAAAGAAAAAGGTATAAATAAACAAAAAAATAGAAAACAATAGGAAAGAACAAGCTAACCAATAGGAGAGTAGAACAGGTACAAAAGTCAAACCACAGGCTATTAGATTAAAAACTCACCACATAGATGAAGTGCAATGGTAGATATTCTTCTCAATCAACATTTAATTTGAAGCAGAACTTGCAGCACATGGAGCTTGACTACCATCCTCAGATGAAGACTGGTTAGCTGATATATCCACATGTTGCTGCTGGTCAGCCAGACCAGAAGTTGGGCTATCCTCTTCACTATTTGATACAGAAGCTATAGTATTTCTTCTACTATCTCTGGTTTCTAGATGACCCATCAGGTCCGTCACAGTAGCAATACCTGGATCACTTTCTCTTCTACCTTCAGAACTAAGGTCCTGTGTCGTACTGTTTCTCGAGAAAAATCTCTCCTTCCAACCTCTTGTGCTCTTGGTGATAGACTCTTTGTACCTATAACAATGAATTTGGCAAAGATCAGTTGAAAGACTGTTATGAAACTAATTAGCAATTGTCGGTAGCACATAGCAACGTTCTGTTCTACCTCATTGACATTGCACTAAACCGTGATTTTAACGATTCAGAGAAAGACTGGAAATCTGATGGCCCAGCTCTGTCCTGACTGCTAGGGGAAGATTGATTAGGAGACCTCCTAAAAGAAGATAATTTGACATCAGAATAAAAAGAAAAGCAGAAGATAGAATCGTATCTAGAATACAAGTTGAAATATAATAAAGCAATTGCCATACATTCTCATGCTAATGGGCTAAGGAAAAACTTAAAATCAACGTAAATATCACTACCTATTTGTCAATGGCACATGCTGATTAGCAACAGGGCTTGATCCTGATGCTGGAGCAGGCACTTGATCCGCTTGGCCAGAAGTAGGTGGAATTAATTGCGTAGAATCTCCTCCTATGGCGAGCAATGGAGATGCTGAACCAGCTATCATAGCTGCAGGTTCATTCCCCCCAACACCCTGTAGAGGTGGAGGCGAAGCAGCAGCCGTCGTAGGAGGGGCATTAGGATTAGTAGAGAACACAAGAAAGTGAGGACGGCCTTGAGCTGATGACCTACTCCTCTGGCCTTCCCTCCTAGCAATATGACGAGCCCTTCCCATGGCAGCAGCAGCAGCTAAATGCTGAATAATACGTTCTTCAAGCTCGGATTCAGTTGCACTAACTGGTAACTGGAATTTCAAAATGAAAAATAGATGTATAAAAGAAAATTTTAATAACTGAGCAAAAAGGGAGCCACAGTTGAAAAAGTACAAACATGCTGCAACTCAAAATCCCCCAAAGTTGGATGATGAAATATAGTGGTGTTCCTAGGTGGATTCATCCGGATATTTCTTTCATGCTCTACAGCATCAAGGAGTTCCTGGCTGCCAACAAGAAAATATGACTGCTTCTATCCAGGTAACAAAATATGGAGGATGGGCAGAAATATATAGTAGGTTCACTGAGAGAAAGGACCATGGAAGGGGAGCACTTACCTGCCAGGGTCCTTCAGACTGATAGGCTGCCAACACATTGGGCACTTGGAGCTTCTCTGACACCTACAAGATATAGTCACTAATTATGCTTAACCCTGGCCCACATTTTCTATGTCAATCATGAGGCACGAATCTAGGCAAAGTATGAGCTTCTACCAAAAAGAAGGTCAATATTAGGTTGCCACCAACTTGAGAAACTTTAAACATCAATGAACAAAATGTTCTAGTTCAAAGGTAGATCATCCATCACTTGAGAAAAGAATCAGTAAAACAAAAAAACCACAGAAAAATACCACGGGACACAGAAATATACTAACAACAATGTTCAGAAACATTATGATGAGAGAACCGCCATAATCCAAAAAGATGAAAGAAAGCAAAAAAGGAGAAAAAAGCCTTGAATCTGAGGGAAAGTTTTTATCAATCTTTTCTCCAAAAAAAATTACCAAAGCAGAAAGGATCAAGCAACTTAGATCAGAACCTTCCACAAGACCAAAAACGAAATGGAAGTGGAAAAGAGTGAGAGAATTGTCTTTAAATGGATAGGCACTATTACAGGGTTAGCGAGGCTTTTACTTTTGTCATTAGCAGGAGATGGTCATATGCATCTAAAATCCCTGTACTTTCTCGCTTTGAATGTGAGTAGACTACGCATCCATTTTCCTACATGTCAGAAATTTTACATAATAAGCTCTACTGTGCACAATATCCAGATATCTTGCTTAATCTATTCCCCCATGTTGGCTCCTCAAGTTTGTATTGTGCAACAGGGGAAAAAAACAAACAAAGGGGGAATCCACTTTTAATATGGCTGATTACAAACTTCTTAAGAGGACTGATGGCAGCCTCTGCATTTTTATTCACTTCTCAATTAATTTAGTTAAAGTACTCCAATTGCTATATTTACAGACAGAAAGAACAATTTCCTACCAATGCCAAAGCAAAAAATGATCCTAAAAGAGAAGTATTATCTATCTTCATCAAACGCCATGGCAGTGAAAAGACTGAAGCAGTTTTATGGCAACACTTAAGTAATAAAATACATAATAAGTTCTAATGGATGGCATCATATTATGTAGGATGGTATCCCCCTCAAATTACTACCAAACAAAGAGCACAGAATTAGAGAATAGCATAAAGTATTCTGAAGCCTCAGGCTTAAAATAAATATCTTTCAGTTAATGCTGCATTTCCGTCAATCCACAAATGCATATTGTTAAAGAATGAGAAACATCATCATCTTTGACCCAAACATATCACACCCTTAGAAGCATACTATCAAATCCCGTTTAAGGAAGCATTTACACATAGAAAGGTCAAATGTTCAGAAGGGTAGGCTATCAGTCTATTTACTAATGCAATAATGATTAGAACCAAAAAAGACCTCAAGTTCAACAAATAATTATCATTTACTTCACATGAGAGAAACAGCATGTCTGCCATAAAAATGTATGATTTTTGAGCGTTGAAGACATCTTTAAAGTTATTAAAAGCAACCAACTTCAAGATAAGATTTTTCTTTAACAGATTAAGAGAGTACCATTCAAGAACACATTGAAGATGAAATTCATGCTTGCAATTTGTCACCTGCAACAGAAACATAATCAAACGTCACCTAGTTGGACAGAGTTACAATCACAATTTCAATTGAGCACGCAAATGCCTCATAAATATATACATACAGTCGAAGGATCACTTTCAACAAATTCTTCAAGGCATATGCTGCAAGCATCATCACAGGCATCCTGAATTCCACCTTCCACGAAAGCTGCCGCTGATGTCAAATGACTCTCGGGTGCTTTACCCTCTTCCATCTGCAAAAAAGTTGCAATCTTTAGAATTAAACTACTTAAAAAAGTAACTCCCGGGTTGCAAAAAACTTTTCCTTCTTACTATTAGATTAAAATCTCAACAATGTATTGGACATACAATAGATAAGTGCCTAAAAAAATTAATGTCTCGTCTACACAGACAAATATAGCAGCTCACAAAAAGAACACCTCACTGAATTAAGAGAAACCAAAGGTGGTCTAACCCTACTTTAAAAGATACCAACTTCACAAAATTGCTAGTCAAAATTAAGCAAAGGGTTCGATTACCAAAAGAACAAGTGGCAGTTTATTGAAGGCTTGTATGGTTCCTTTTGTTCCAATGCCTATTGGTTCCCAAAAACAAAAGAAAAAGAGAAACTGGCTGTATTTTCACGTGAACTAACATTCTTCAGCCAATTATTCACAAACTAGAAGACTGCAAATGGGACAAAAAGGCAGCTTTATTGTAATCAATTTACAATCTAGCCCTGTGATACAAATTCCAGGCAAAACCCAGAACAGAAAATAAAAAACCCCACATAAACAAGAACTCGTTCAGCTTAAAAAGAGAAGAATAAATATATAAAGCTCAAGTCCAGACCAGCAAAGGATATAAATCCAAAAATCGAAATGGAAAATCACAGAAATAAGCTATTTAACGAGTGCCCACTAAGCAAACTGGTTAGAATTCACCAATTCCACCCAAAAAAAATTTTAAAACTCACCTCAGAGTAGAAAAGTGACCTAATCTGGCAGATCAAAACTAATCAAAACCCAAAATACTGATTCAAAATTTTACCTTTATTCAAGAGGGATATATACCAGGCCTAAAAGATTATGATGAGATTATCTAAATGAAGTGGGAACGGTATATATTTTGGAGGCAAGAATAAGAAGAAGAGGAAAAAGGGAACGAAGACTTTGTAGAGTCTCTCCCTTGTGGATGATTTATTGGTAGAAATTACAGTAGAATTCTTGATGGGTTTTTCTTTTTCTTTTTACTTTTCCTTTTCTTTTTTTTTTTTTTTGGGGAGTGGGATTAACCACTTCTTCTTACGGGCGGTGGTGACTGATGACTGATGACTGAGCCCACACAGACCAGCTTAGCAGGGAAGGACTAAGGAGAGAGCCAAAGAGGTGACCGCAGCTCGGTCTTCTGCTAGCCAATGTTGCAACACGTGGCTTAGATATCTCATCTCTTTGAATTTTCTATATAGTTTGGGGGAAAAAGTTTCTTTTTTCTTTTTTCAAAATTTTTCAAAAAGAAAAAGTTGAAAGCTGGATATTTGAAAAAAAGTAGGATTGTGCTAATGGATAAACAGATTCTGATTCTGCTTTGCTGTATTATTCTGTGTTTTCCACCGTCCAAATGTAATTTAGAGATTGGGATTTGGCCTTATTTATGGGCTTTTAAGGTAAGGTTTGCTGTCAAATACGATAGATTAGTTAATAATCACTCGTATTAGGGTGAGGATTTGGTGTCTTTTCACTAATTTAGAAGAAAAGTTAGTTGTTTCACTTTCAATATTTTATTTCGTAGTTACAATAATTGAGGGTTTTAGAGTAGGGATTGGTGTATTTTGCGTACTTTTGCTGACAAGATTCGAGTACTTTTGAATTTCATTTCTCGAAAATTTTTAAGATTACGTTTGGATTGAGAGATTCAATAAAGGATTTAAAATCTTCTCAAATCCGACTAATTATTTAGAAAATTTAGGCGGCACTTATTTGAGTTTGTAATTTATCGATAATTGAAATACATGTTAAACACTAAAATAATTGATGAATTACAAATTCAAATGCCTCCTAAGGAATCCAAATAAGTAGAAGGATTTGAGAGGATTTTAAATCCTCTGTCAAATCCCCCAATCCAAACGAACTTGTCAAAAAATAAATATTTGAAAATATAATAGTGTGAAATAAAAATATTATTGAAAATATGTAAAAAGAAATTTTTAAAATAAAAAACAAAATATATTTTGCACAAAGATACAATGCAATCAATGCCATATGTTATGCCTTTTAGGGGTATGCGTGTTTACATCTTTCAAGTTTCAACAGGAAGGTTCACTTGTCTTCGTAAACCCTATTTTTGGGTATTTGATTTGGCACCATTTTCCTATTTTAGGCTTTGGAAATGACGAATTTTGGTGATAATTATGGTTCTATTGGTGTCTTGGATTTTCTGACCACCAAGTCACGAAAATGGCTAATTGGTTTGTTATTGTAAAGTGGTCCACTATCAATTCATATGATATCCTTCCAATCCAAATACTCCATTCTTTAGTCTTTTTAGTATTAACTATAAATTTTGACCCAGAAAACACTTTATAATTCAAGTTTATCAGTTCAATTTAGTAATTTAAACTTTCTTATCATAATTTCAACGCTCCATGATTGGTCATAAAAAAAAAGTTTCAACAATTGAATAGGGATATACATACTTGTTGGTGTAATTTCAAGAGTTTATCGCAGTTTATACTTTGTTTTATTCTTGAGGATTTTTTTTTTTAAGGGTTAAACGTAGTAAACCCCCCTAACGTTTGGTGTCATTTGCATTTTCGTATTTTTGCTGCACTTTCCTCCCCTTGGATTAATGGTCAACACTGACAATTTAACTAAAAGATATTAATAACATCAAAGTAACAATTAGTGGAAACAATACTTGAAAGAGAATTTTGCTTCGAGAGAATGTCAATAAAAATGGGATCCGACCACTTAAAAAGAAAAAATGACATGCCGGTAGAATCTATTGTAGAACTTAAAATAAAAATCATTTTGTATACAAAAAATTATAAAATAAGTACCCAAAAAGAATATCATTTAATTTTAACAACAAAAAAATTTTATTGAAATTTTAGATGTCCGTGACATGCATACGAGAGATATTTTATCATATTTATATATTAACGTTAAAATACCAACTTTTAATTTTTTTTTGTTTACTTTTAACAAGTGCCTAATTTAGAGCATCTTTTACACCTCACAAGACTTCACAGTTTTGTGTGTTTTGGCAACAAAATGGAGAAGTCAAGGTCCTGGTATGCCGCGTGAGTGTGGAATATAGATCAATTCTCATCCCATATGATCTAAATTCTAAAGCACTAATTGCAATGGTAGCTGTCAGAAGATATTTATTTTTAGCATAAAAAAGGCAAAACCATTATTTATTAAAGTGCTTATATTTTCTTTTTCTTTTTTTTGTTTTAACTTTGATCATTCCAAATGTTCTAGGACAAGGAAAGGGAAAAATAGGTTCAAAAACATGAAGAAATATGACGTCCAAATGAATGCGCATTTTTCTCCGGTAAAATCTTGATTGATTATATTACATTAGAATTTTCTCATTTCATATTCTTTTTTTAGTATAGTATATTAAAAATTTGATTATTGGAAAAGTTAAAGAAAATTAAAGTGCGTTTTCGTTTTGAAAGGTTTAAAATCCTGAAACTCTTGTCAAAAAGTACATCGATGCTTGTTCCTAATCTGGACTCACTTGGATCAACTTTTTTGAAGCCATGATAAGTTTGAAAATAAAAAAAGAAAAAAGAAAAAGAGAACAATTTGAGGCAACTTTTACTAAAAGAAGAAAAAAGTAGTAATACCCTTTGACCAAAAACCACGAAAAGGGCCCTAGAAAGAATGCCACGAATGGAGCTCAATTAAAGTAATTAGGCCGTTGTTTTCTTGATTTATCCAAAATAAATACTCTCACCATCTCATTTTGATATTCTTATTTTCCTCTTTTTATTCGTCCCAAATTATAATTCGCTTTTAGTTGAAAAATATAATTAACTTTTAAATTTCCTAAAATATCATAATTTAATATATTTTGTTATCAATGGGTATAACATATCTTATTCAATAATTGTTATAATTCATCACTTGAATCATGCAACTTTCCATCAATATTGTTATCGTAATTAATGTAAAGGCATAGAGAGAGAGAGGAATGAATCGGGTGGTATAGAAGAGAGAGTATAAATGAAAAATCTCAGATTCAGAACCTTTCACTTGCACTAATCAAAAAAATGCAAAGATATTCTTCGTTTAGATTGACTTATTTTTCAAAAATAAGTTTTTCAAATACAACACTACAATAATATACAAACAAAAACAATTCAAAAAACATTTCATCCATATAATATATCAAATATTTTAAAAAATATTTATAGTAAAAGTTTTTCATATACACTATTATAGTAAAATATTTCAAAAACACACCCAAAAGTAGCGCTGTTTGGATGAGAGTGTTTTTCAAATACAATAAAAGTTTTTAAAAAGTATTTAAAAAAGTAATCTAAAAATTAGTTTAAAATTTTAAAAAATATCTCAAACTATATCCTAGAAACTCTTCTACTCTTAAATATTCCAAAATATTTTCTGAAAATATCCAAAATATAATCTAAAAACTCTCTGTTATAACAAAATTTTTCAAAAACACCCCTAAAAACAACTAACCCAAACAGTTTTAGAAAAATAGTATGTTAGATTAATTTTTTCAATAAAGGTAACTAATTTTTCTTAAATTGTGTGGAAAAAAAAACATAACTATCAAAATTAGATTGAGAGAATGGTTGAATTGATTTGAAGCTCCTTTTGCTTTGTAGGGATGTACTCCAAAATCTGAAAGTATCACGTGAAAGTGCTAAAAAAAAAAAACAAATGTCATTACTTATTTAGCAATTCATCACGAAGTGGTCAGAATGCCCAAAAAACAGAAGAACCAGAAATAAATGAGAGCATTTACTGAGTGCTGGAGTTTGCATAGGAGCTGAATTTTCAGTGTTTCATCGCTCACTATGCACATTAGTGCATTGAAACTGTTATGTGGGTGAAAATTTTCGAACCATTCTCAAGCTTTTTTACTGCAGTAACAAATGGAAGGAACAGCATTGAAGCCAATTTACTAGTTACATAAAATCATGATTCTTCATTTCTTCTAGCTCCACTTTCAATCCCTCTTCATTTTTCTTTTTTTTTTTGTAAGATTTTAAATTTTAGAACCAAACAAATTACAGGTACAACATCTTATGAATTTCTACAAAAGAGTGTCATATTCAAACGACATTCATAAAAGATGAATGTGACATTAATGTTTGACGGGCTACAACAATTAGAACAAACATTTACCAATAAGTGGCAAGATTTCAAACGATGTTTTGAAATCATACAAGACTTGCAGAGAGCTTAGGAATAATTGGACGCTAAAGTTTGAAATAGAGCGCGTTTTCCACTCGAGACTATTTCAAGCAAGACTTGCAGAAAGCTTAGGAATAAAGAGTAGTGGCAAAATGTATCACCGAAGAAGTGAAGAGTAGTTGCTAACTAGTACATTAATTTCTCTGCCTCCGTTTGGATAGTGTATTTTACGAGGGTTTCTACAAAATTTTATTATAATTTACTGTAACATTATTAAATAACTTTTTCGTATTTGAGTGTTTGGGAAATATGTGAAATTTTTTTTATTTTTCTTTTTCTTTTCTTTTGTTGTTTTTTTTCTCCTTTTTTCCTTTCATCTTTTTCGTCTCTCCTTCCTTCTTCTGTCCCACTGCCGCCACCCTCTTCCTCCCCGCTACCATCAAACGGTGGCGTTGGCACTTCACTCTCCCTACCATTTTTTACCCTTTTCCCTCTCTCCCTCCCTCTCCTTCTCTCTCTTTCCCCTTCTTCTGCTTCATTGATTTGGCTACATAAAAAGGAGAGAAGGAGGCGTGTTGGATAAAGGGAGAGGTAGGAAAGAGGGTAACAGGGAGGAAATGAGGAGAAGGGGAAACAAAAGGAGAGCGAACTGCTCGCGCCGATGTTGGTAGTGGTGGTGGGAGGCTAATATGGGGGCGGCAGTGATGAAAGTGTAAATGGTTAGGAATGGTAGTAGTAAAAGAGGAAAATGGGTGTGTATTTTTTGAGTATTTTGAAATGCGTATTTTCAAAAATGTATGTGTTTTTAGCGGATTTAAAAATTTTGTCAATTAAAAACAAGCTAAAAAAATAAGGATGCCAAACACACCCTATGATTTGTCTCATCCAAATGTATTGGAAGAAAAGAAAGTATAATAAAAGGAGGTTAAAAAAAATTGAACTATACTAGTCTTAAAATCTTCAAAACTAAGACCTCAAATCCAACCGTATAGCTGACCTCTAACGGAAAAGTTCACTAGTTTTTTTTTTTTTTTAATTTGATTTGAAAGTGAAACCCCTCCCCCAAAAACCACCAAAGTAAAAACAAAGTAGTCCAAAGGGAAGAAAAGGAACATATGATATACCAAAAAATAGTGGAAAAACGATTAGAATGAGGAATGAAATATCGGACAAGACAAGATTCTCTCTGCTATAGGAATTGCACATACTATTTAGCAAAGAGGAGAAGATTACTCCTTATAAACAAGGAAATGTAAAACCAAAAATTACATATGAAACTAATGCATAATCTAAAAAACATAAGCACATTGCGTTGTGAGTACATTGCATTTTCATGTGCAGTGCAAATCATCACATTTGAATATCCAAAATTTTCAAAAATGGAAAGGTATGAATATATATATATATATATATATATACACACACCAATAGAAGTAATCATGGCTAAAACTTCTTAATAGGGCAAATATAGGTTCCAAAAAGTTGTTGGTGAGACCAGCAGGGTTCTGCCACATTAAGAACACAAAGTTTTTTTTTTTTTAACTTCTCTTGAGGTTTTCTTTTGATGTCTTGTGTGTACCAAATAGAACATTTGCTTGTATATATCTCATTCTATTTTTATTCCATATCAAAATTTAACGTACACGCATTTTCAAATTAAAAGGTAATGAAAACATGATCACAATTCTGTCATCAATATCTTGGTCTCTGTCACTTTGTAAGTGATTTTCATCTTCATTGGAGATCAACATAATGTCTTTCCCTTACCGGTTAATAAAAGTGAAAAAGAGATATCTATTCCCAATTATGTGGGTGTCCCAAGTAAATTTTTTTTTCCTTGGAACATGTTTTATGAAAACTAACGTGAAATCTTGGTAAACCAAATCATTAAAAATTACAGAAGTAACTACAACAACATCCAATTTTTTCCAAAAAAAAAAAAAAAAAAGTTGGACAAGAGCTTTCTTCTTGCTTCCATATATCAAGCCCTTTTTTTTTTGTTTTAAAAATTTCTAGAAGACTACCATCATTCAATATGGAATTGTGGATTGACCTGGTAAAAGGATCCATTCATTTCAAAATCTACTGCTAAAAGTCCTCAATTCCAACACCTTAATCCTAAATTTCAACCATGACTTTATTGTCACAAGTGCAATAATAGACAGCTACTATAGTGACAATACAGCGGTATACAACTATACATAATTCAAAATAGCTTTTAAACCCTTTTACTTTTTTTCAGTTTCGTGTGATATGCAATTGAAATCTTGCCAAAGGAAGACGAGAAAGAAAGAATTCATGAGAACACAAAAAAAGTTGGGGAGAACAATCAATAAACCCAAAAGACAAAATCTTCCATGCATATGTAAATAGGGAGTTTTTGGGATAATTGTTGACAAATTTCATCTGCCTCATGGAAGGGTAATTTGGTGATTTGCCATTTGGTACCTCGGCTTGGTTGAGCAGATTGTACAACAATTTAATACATGGGAGCCTCCTAGCAAGTACTTGCAATTACATTCTTACCCTTAAAGTGACTATTTATGCTTTCTTGTGCATTTGTCACTGAAGAAACAAACTGCTTTTATTACAAAGCTAATCAATCATCTGTTAGAATTAAGACACAATCAATGAGAATTAGTGGAGGAGCCATTTGTCATGTATGATATCATATCATATCATTGGATTGCACCTTCTTTTAAAAAAAAAACAAAAGAAAAATTGGGAATCTGCATTTGTATAGGATAGCCGTTCGACTTCTTTAATTTTTGGCGGAAGCAGGTTTATCCACTCACTGATGATTGCAGTGCTAAAATTTGCTCTTCTTGTCCCCATATACTCATGATGACATGCTGAATACAGATACAATTTTGATCTCCTTTTTTCTGTCTTATTATCAGCTGTGGATGATCATGACAAAACTTGTCTCCAGATACTTGATGAAGGCCACAATGTTACAGGTGTGTGTTTTCATCCTAAACTTCCTATTATAATCACCAATACAGGTGATGGTATTGGTACCGTCCACGTATGGCATGCAATGCAACCACCTAAAGGTAATCTATACATTCATCCAGGCCATATGATGGATGCTCTCTAATCTTGTGAATTAGGTTCTTACATCACAACCCTTTTTTTTTTTTTTTGCATGTAAAAGGTTTACTTGAAAAGATACAAGTTTCTCACGCTTGTTTTGGTGTATCAGAAATTTGACTTGTACCATTTATAGAAACTCAACATTTCAATTATTGACCTTGTGGGAGTACCATCTTAAATTCGTTTGGATTAGTTGTTTTTTGATGTGTTTTTGAAAAAATTTACTGTAACAGTGTATATGAATTTTTTTTTTGAGTTGTATACATTTGTGTATTACTGTAATATTGTATTTGAAAAACAGGCAAATCCAAACGGAACGTGTAATTGGCTGTAAATTTACCAATTAAAGCACAATTACTTATTATGACTAATGATTTCCTCAGATTCAAAAAATAGGTCAACTTTCTTCTTAAATGAACATTACAAATTTATTAATCGCAACTTTGATTACTCAATTGCAACAAAGGATTCTTCCCTAGTTAAAAGACTAATAACAAGCACTCAAAATCTCCCCATGTACCAAAATCACAAATTAAAGATTATAATTTAGCATCACTAGAAAGTGATTATTCCACTCATATCAAACGGCTAAACTTCTACACTTTATTGATCAAATAACTCTTGATCGAGTTGCAATACTCCCATGGCTAGGCAAGCCTACAATGGATTGATCAATACAAGTTTTGGGTACAAATTTTCATGGTTTCAATATAGCAACTTGAAAATAAGAAAGATACAACAAAGAACAGACACAAAGTCCACAACAAAAGCAAGAGCCTTGCTGCAAATGTTTTGCTTAGCAAACAGACTTCTACTACTAAAAGGGATCCTCTGTTATCTACCACTACAAAATTTGGAGCCACCCCAATAGAAGAAATTACAGCTTCAAGAATCATATTCTCATAATCATATAGCCTATTGCAATTGTCTCTGTACTTTGAGATTACCTCAATGCAGAAAAGGAGCAAGAATGAGTCCTAGTAAATCAAAGATGAAACATCAGAGATATCGAAAACCCTTTGACCTAAAACTAGCAAAAAAATTGTCACCAAAAGTTAAAAAAGAAAACCACCAATAGTAGCAGGTTGCAAATATATTTTAATAGACACACATAAGCTTTTGCATGGTGTCTAAATCAAGAAGAAAATGCATAGGCTACACATTTTCACACTTCAATAAAGTATCAAACTTCATAATTTGGATGTCTAGTTGAATTTTTATAAGATAGCAACATGCTCAAACGTAATCAAAATTGGCAGAAAAAAAAGCTCGAAATACCTAAAAGGCACTTGAGAAGGAACAAGAAAATGCCAAAGCAAGATTTTGGATAAAAGATGCATTTTGAATTTTTGATGGAGAGCAAAAGAAGCCCTTCACTCACTACATAAAACAAGAAGACAGAAAATACCTTTGAAGACCTTTTGGTTCACTCTTTACAGTTGCCGTATATATACATAACATTTCAATTTTTTGGCCTGTTGCCTATACATTGCATACCTTGAAGAAAAACAAGTGATCAATCAAAATTCAGAACTCCAAACAAAATCACAACCGTCAACCACCACTCATCTTTGATCAATCACAATCAAATCCCTTTCTCAACTACTCATTTTTTCTTTTTCTTTTTCTTTTTCAAGCCAACTACTCATTTTTCATCATCCCAAAAGCCCCCTTACCTCTTTTTTTTTTTTTTTTTGTGGAAAAAAACCCCCAAAATTTACCTCCCAAAGAAAAAGGGAAAAATCTTGGGGGGAAAAAATCATTAATCAATTAATCTTCCCTTTGAGAATGACTTCTCCAAAACCCAGCCCCGTAAAACCGGTCCCACATTTCAGAATCAAGATCAACGGCGTCCATTACACCAACGCCCTTCTGATCATCATCATAACCGTCAGATGATGATGATTCATCATCATGATGATAAATCCCATTCGGCCCACTCTTATTTTCCTCCAAATTCTTCTTCTTTTTCTTTAATAATCTTTTCCTCTTATTTTTCTTCCAGGCCTTTTTACACAGCCCCTTGGGAACTTTATAGACGGCCAAGATGAGCAGGTGCATCACCGCGCATGGACAGCAGCAGCACACGGCGGCGCACTCCGCCGTAGTCACACCTGCAACTTCCCCTATCGTCCTCCCACTCGGGCACTCCCTCTCGTCCTTCACCGCCGCAGTCGCAGTCGCCGCAGCCGCAGAGCCACCGGGTAACAACGGTTGCCTCCTATTCATCGTGGGCGACTCAATCATAACATGCTGAGCCATCGCCGTCGCCATCTCTCTCTACCACTGAGTCAACTCACTACAATCAAAGGAAGGAAAAAAAAAAGAGAAAACGATTCTTCACCCCAAGGCAAAATCCAAATGGGTTTTTGTTTCTTCTCCTTTTCTTAATCTGGGTTTTCGACCTAAGCCATGCTTAAGCCCATCTAAGGGGAAAAAAATGATGGGTTCTTAAAGGAGATCAGATTTATGGGGGGCAAATTCCAGAAAGCACTAAAATAGGAAGAGGAGATGAGGTTAAATTTGGCTAGAAGCGGAGAAAATAGGGGGAAAATCTTGTGGATGGAGAATTATAGCAACCTGAATCTTCAATTATAGGGAGATATTTCAATTAGTGCTTGAGTTACAGTGGCAAGAAACAAATTGGGAGGACAAGTGGGAGACGCGTCAGCAGGTGTGCGGAGGGAGACATTTGAGGGCCAGACGAAAGACAGATAAAAGAAGAAACACGCAAGTGCGGATTTAACGCATAGATATCACGATTTTGGAAGTTAGTTCTTATATTATGTGATTTTGACCGGTCACGCAACTGAAGTCTGCTTGTGGGTTCGACATTAATGGGACCAATCCAATGAACCATGGAAACTGCGTTTATTACAATGAGCTCCTTGAGTTTTACCATATTTACTATGGATTGATTTAGGGTAGATCAAATTTGCAAGTTAAACCACACTAATCAAAGGTAGGAGGATTTAGAATTGGCATGTGTTTGTTGAGAAGCATAAAAAATTATTAGTACACAATTTAATCTTTATCGTGTAATTAATAAGGATACAGGTGTCCGCGTCCGTTTTACGGTCTGCGACTAATCTTGTTCGAGCTGCGTCGGGCCCCTTGCAAGAGAATCTCTCCCATCGTTGTTTTTTTCATTCCTATGGGTTTTGAACCCGAGACCTCATGGTTAAGAGATGCAAGCCCCTTCCACTTGCACCAACATCCGTTGATTAAGGATACCAATTTATCAAGATTAGCTGAAGTCCACTATTATTATCTCAGAAGTGTATAAAATATGAACAAGGTGTAAAATGTGAAAATTTTATGTAAATTGGTATCTTTTCTTGCCATAATATTGCTTGTATGGCAATTATTACAAATTTCTTTAAACTTAATTACTTTTTTTTCCACATATGAATGTTGTTAACTGGGTATTCTTGGCCTGGTAAAATTGTTTAGGCTCTCAATTGCGACGACGTCCCTCTCTATTATCCTTGCAAATTATAAGAGTGGCTTAAAAATTAAGAAATTTGAGGAGAGATCATCGTAATATTTTAAAATTTGGGGAAAATTTTCATTACATTGAGCTCGAGCAAGAGCTAGTCTTGTTGGCCATGAAGAATAAACTAGACAGTATTTCCTTCGAGAAGAATTAGTTTTTGCTTCCAACTTGAAAATTTTTGTTGGAGACAAATTAGGGATGTTTTAATGGTTAGGGACGTGACCATAATATTGGACCTGAAATTTTGATTTCATTGGCCCTATTAGGCTGTTAATTTGTTTAAAAAAAAAAGTCATGGTAGCCACCTCCATTTTTAAAGAAAACATTTGATATACTTGTTCTAGAATTTGTTCATTTTCAATCTTGTAGTGTCTAAGCATGAAGTATTCCTTCTTTGTCAAATTCTAATTATACGATCCAGCTATCAACTGCAGTGTCTTTTTAAGTGTTGCCATCAGTGGCTGGAATTTCAAGGATTGCCACCAAAAAATGGCGTTGAATTGGTCATCTAATTACCAAGATGATCACTAAGTCAGCAAACCATATTCCCATTTTCCATTCGCTTTTCTTTTGTTTTTCGAGAGAAGTCACCAGAAATGGGGGCAACCGTATTTCTTATTATTCCCCCAAAAATACAATGTAAGAGAAATCCATAGATTTGATCAAAATTTGAGGACAAGCCCCTATTTTTTTTAATAAAAAAAAAAAAGAACTTATGCCATTCCCTCTAGAAGTATTTTTTTTTTCAGTTAGTACTGACAAATTAGTGCTATTTATTTCCCTCTAATTTCCAATCATATTGCTATTTACTTATTTTCAATTCACACGATCTCAATAGTATGCCATATGCAAATACTAATTCTTTTTTTTTTTGTAAAAATAAATATTAACTCTATACTATGTATGTTTCCCAATGCATGTCAAGGAGCTGAAGAGCAAATTTTTACAAAAAATTTAAAAAAAAAGAAGAATTTTCACGTGTTGTTGCTTAGCAATTAATCCTGAATTAGTGACAGCTCATTTTCTTGAAAAATATATTAGATTGTGTTTCCACACGACATCTAGTACTTTTGCGGAATTAAACCGTTGTCGATGATTGGATTTGATCAGGTGGGAAAGGTCATAGCAAAACATCTAATGACAATTTGTTACTTGGAGAAATTAAGTTCCATGTTTGACTTCTGGTAATCTTGCATTAATGATGTTTAATGACTAGTTTTCGAAATTTAGGCTCCTACGCTAGAGGGGAAGGGGAGACTAAAGAGGCTTGAATTGGGAACTAACAGGTACACAAATCTTACTAGATCAAAGGGATGCTCTGATTTCACCCTTGAATTTTTTTCGCTATAAGTAGGATTTGAACCTTCACCTACAACCCAAGAAGGGACTTAAGTTTCACTTAGTGATTTGAACCCTCACCTGCAACTCTTGAATTTCAGTTCTACACAGTCAATGGCGAAACTAAGCGGGCAGCGGCAGGGAGGGGCCACCGCCCCCAATTTCTAGAAATGAATACCTTGTACGTCATTAAATTTTGACCCAAAAAAAAAAAGTACTCCGTTAAATTTTGAGAATTTTTAAAGTTTCCTTTATATATTTGGCTATTTGCCCTGCTATGTTCTAGAAAGTCATGCTTTCTCCTCTTAAGAGTTTGAAAATTTTTCAAAATTTCTTATATATATATATATATATATATTAAGTTAGGATTAAGTTTTTATCCACTATAGTGAATGTAAATATATGTCACTTATACAAAAAATAAATTTAAAATTGAATTACCTGACGTGCATCTACACGTATTAAAAAAAAAAATTACTGCAGATAACTTAATTTGTCCCCCAAAACTTTTTAAAATATTTATATTGACTCCACAGTTTACATGCATATATTTCGCCCCCTCAAACTAAATTTTCTAGTTCTGCCATGCAGTTAAAAACTAGTTGTAGTCAAATAAAGCCTCAAGTACACAAGTAGGTCGAATTAACACCAAGAGCATATGGATAGCACTAATAGAGATTTTGGCTATTTGTCACAAAATTTAGGACTTTCAATTTCCTGAGTAAATATGAGAGTGGAAGAAAGTTTGGTGGGCGTGGAGGAAAGTCAGTTTGGTATAATCTTTGTAAAGAAAGTCAATTTGGTGTAATCTTTCTAAAGCTTAAGGGTAGGGGTTGGTGGTCCGATGATAAAGTAAAAGTGCCGCCTAGGGCTTCGATCTCTAGCCTTTTCTTTATAGGAATTTTATTTGTTTCAACAATAAAAATGAAATTTACTCGACAAAAATTTACTCGAAAAAAGCTTAAGATTGAGACTCCATGAACTAAAATTCTCGACTTTTATTCTCCTCTTCCTTCTCTCAATTTCTTATATCCTACCCTCCCCTTAAAAAAAGGTGAAGTGTTTCTTAACAATACAGAATGTAAAAGCAGTTGATCGAAACAGATGATTCATTGTCAAATGGTGGCTATACCATCTTTTTCGGACAGAGAAACTGTGGCCTTCGATCTCACAAGCCCACAACTTTTTGCTCTATTGTACTATTTCATTTTGATTTTCCTCGTCATACATGACAAAGCAAACGCTCGAACCATAAAATGCCAAATGATGTCGGCTTGGGAAAGGAGGCTGATCCCTTAAAAAAACATGCTTTTGCCGAAAGAACCAAACTGGTCGACGGAAACTGGATCATGGATGAAGCAATTCAGCCGTGGCCACGAGGTTAAGAAGCATTCTGATGTGACCTTGGCTGCCTTCAATCTTGGAGCTTCCAACATTGATTTCGCCTTTGACCAGGCTCTTTCCAAGCCTTTAGTCTGAAATGGCCTGCAGCTGGCTCAACAATGACAGTAATTTTACACAGTGATTATAGATGCTGGCATTGCTCATGCCAATGGTCTTCAAGAAGTAATGGCGGGCTAGTTAGTTAAATTTGACGTGGAGAAAATAGACACTGCATTGACTTGGGAATCAAATAAATATTGGTACTATATTATTGAGTGATGGTTTGGCGATGCAAGAATGAAGTTCTGTAAAAGTAACGTGAATCACTTGGTGACAAGGAACCATAAGCGCTGCATTAGCTCTAATCTCTCGTGTGTTTGGATAGTGAATTATTCGAGATAATTTTGTAAAAAATACTATAACACTTTTTAATGTGATGTATGCAAAATAAAAAGATAATTGAAAAATGCATTAATGATACAAACAAATCAGTGTGTGTAAATAAGATAAAAATAACGTATAATCCAAACACAATACGTTAAATCCTTTCAGGAATGAGCATTTGTTGCAAATGTATGCACTTTGAATATTCAACTACACATGGTCGTTCTAAGCGAAAAATTTATAGAATCAGTAGTATTATTTTCATCTTAAGCACTAGAATTACTTATGGCACTTTTACCCATAGAATGTTACAGTAAACAAGGGTTGGAACACTTGGTTCTCCCTTCAATCATTTATTCTAAGTTACAAACAAAAGAATTTGATAATGAACATAAAATAATAATAAAAAGAGTGAATTTTAGAGGCTAGCACATTACAAAAACAAACAGAGGATGATGTCTAGGATCCACTGAATGCACCTCCACACAAGTTGGCATATAGGTAGGTATCTTCGGTCCAGGGAGAATTAAGGACCAATGAAGACTAATCAACCCGTTGTGCTGTTAGTTTGAAGATCATTTGTCATTCTGCTGATGCTGGTAGTTGGCAGCCCCAATCTACTTACCAATATAACCCAACCAGTGGAGGAAGACTGCCAAAAGAAGCATGAGGA